GTTAATGTAGCTTAATCTACTAAAGCAAAGCACTGAAAATGCTTAGATGGGTATTTTTACCCCATAAACACATAGGTTTGGTCCTGGCCTTTTCATTAGCTTATAGCTAACTTATACATGCAAGCATCCCCGTCCCAGTGAGAATGCCCTCTATATCTACTAACTGATCAAAAGGTGCAGGCATCAAGTTCACCAATCCTGGTAGCTCATAACGCCTTGCTCCACCACGCCCCCACGGGAGACAGCAGTAATTAAAATTAAGCCCATAAACGAAAGTTTGACTAAGTTAAGCTAAATAAAGAGTTGGTAAATTTCGTGCCAGCCACCGCGGTCATACGATTAACTCTAGTTAATGAAACACGGCGTAAAGCGTGATTAAGAGATTAACTGGATAAGATTAAAATAATATTAAACTGTAAAAAGTCTTGATAATTATGAAAATCAAATACGAAAGTAATCTTAAATTTTCTGAATTCACGATAGCTAAGATCCAAACTGGGATTAGATACCCCACTATGCTTAGCCCTAAACATAAACATTTAACAAACAAGAATGTTCGCCAGAGTACTACTAGCAACAGCCTGAAACTCAAAGGACTTGGCGGTGCTTTACACCCCTCTAGAGGAGCCTGTTCTATAATCGATAAACCCCGATTCACCTCACCACCTTTAGCAAATATCAGCCTATATACCGCCATCTGCAGCAAACCCTAAAAAGGCCCTACAGTAAGCAAGAAAATTTTACATTAGTACGTTAGGTCAAGGTGTAGCCCATAAGGTGGGAAGAAATGGGCTACATTTTCTACCTTCCTAGAATAAACCCCACGATAGCTTTTATGAAACTTAGAGCATAAGGCGGATTTAGTAGTAAGTTAAGAATAGAGAGCTTAACTGAATGGGGCAATAAAGCACGCACACACCGCCCGTCACCCTCTTCAAATATACTTCTAACACAATCCTGTCAATAATTTATTTTGTTAAATATGTAAGAAGAGACAAGTCGTAACAAGGTAAACATACTGGAAAGTGTGTTTGGAATAACCAAAATGTAGCTTATAATCAAAGCACTCGGCTTACACCCGAGAGATTTCACTTACTATGAACATTTTGAACTAATGCTAGCCCAACCCTTATTCCTCTCAAATATAACCCACTTAATAAATAAAACATTTACCTAGTTAAAGTATAGGAGATAGAAATTTATATTTGGAGCTATAGAGAAAGTACCGCAAGGGAAAGATGAAAGAATAAATTAATAGTACTAAAAAGCAAAGATTAACTCTTTTACCTTTTGCATAATGATTTAACCAGAAAACACTTGACAAAAAGAATTTAAGCCAAATACCCCGAAACCAGACGAGCTACTTATAAGCAGCTAGTAAGAGCCTATCCGTCTATGTTGCAAAATAGTGGAATGACTTATAAGTAGAGGTGAAAAGCCTACCGAGCCTGGTAATAGCTGGTTGTCCAGACTAGAATTTTAGTTCTACTTTAAATTTACCTAAAGCATAAATCAAGCCAAATGTAAATTTAAATGTTATTCTAAAGAGGGACAGCCCTTTAGAGTAAGGAATAACCTTAATTAGAGAGTAAAACTATTAATTTCCATAGTTGGCCTAAAAGCAGCCATCAATTAAAAAAGCGTTAAAGCTTAATCTGATTATTAAACTTAATACCTGACTCTTTCATAACCTCCTAAATTAGCACTGGACTAATCTATTTTACAATAGAAGAAACTATGTTAAAATCAGTAACAAGAAAATATTCTCCCTGCATAAGCTTATATCAGACCGAATAATTCACTGATAGTTAACAATTTCATAATATTAAACAAACACAAAATCATTATTATTAACATTGTTAATCCAACACCGGCGTGCATATTAAGGGAAAGATTAAAAAAAGTAAAAGGAACTCGGCAAACACTAACCTCGCCTGTTTACCAAAAACATCACCTCTAGCATAAATAGTATTAGAGGCACTGCCTGCCCAGTGACATACGTTCAACGGCCGCGGTATCCTGACCGTGCAAAGGTAGCATAATCACTTGTTCTTTAAATAAGGACTAGCATGAATGGCTTGACGAAGGTTTAACTGTCTCTTACTTTTAATCAGTGAAATTGACCTTCCCGTGAAGAGGCGGGAATTCCCTAATAAGACGAGAAGACCCTATGGAGCTTTAATTTAATAGTCTCACAGCTCTAATAAAATCTTAGGAGTCAAAATTATTGTATACAGACTAGAAATTTTGGTTGGGGTGACCTCGGAGTAGAAACCAACCTCCGAATGATAATAATCTAGACACACATGTCTAAATTACAACTCATCAATTGACCCAAATCATTGATCAACGGAACAAGTTACCCTAGGGATAACAGCGCAATCCTACTTAAGAGTTCATATCGACAGTTAGGGTTTACGACCTCGATGTTGGATCAGGACATCCAAATGGTGTAACCGCTATTAATGGTTCGTTTGTTCAACGATTAAAGTCCTACGTGATCTGAGTTCAGACCGGAGAAATCCAGGTCGGTTTCTATCTATTACTAAATTTCTCCCAGTACGAAAGGACAAGAGAAATAAGGCCAATTAAACTTTAATGCCTTAAATTAATGGATGAAACAATCTTAATCCAATAAAATATTTTAAATAACCTGCCCTAGAGCAGGGCTTGTTAAGATGGCAGAGCCTGGTAATTGCGTAAGACTTAAAACTTTATTTCAGAGGTTCAACTCCTCTTCTTAACACTAATGTTTATAATTAACCTCCTACTTTTAATTATTCCAATCTTAGTAGCTATAGCCTTCCTCACCCTTATTGAACGAAAAATACTAGGATACATGCAACTTCGCAAAGGCCCTAATGTTGTTGGGCCTTACGGTCTACTTCAACCATTTGCTGACGCAATAAAATTATTTATTAAAGAACCTATAAAACCTCTAACATCATCAATTATATTATTTATTATCGCTCCAACCCTTGCCCTAACACTAGCATTCACCATATGAATTCCTCTGCCTATACCCCAACCCCTTATTAACATAAATTTAGGTGTCCTATTTATTTTAGCCACCTCAAGTCTAGCTGTTTACGCAATCTTATGATCTGGCTGAGCCTCCAACTCCAAATATGCCCTAATTGGAGCCCTACGAGCCGTAGCACAAACTATCTCATATGAAGTAACACTAGCAATTATTCTTCTCTCAGTTCTTCTAATAAACGGATCCTTCACTCTATCAACACTTATTACTACTCAACAATTTACATGACTTCTCCTTCCAACATGACCTCTAGCAATAATATGATTTATCTCAACATTAGCAGAAACCAACCGAGCTCCATTTGACTTAACAGAAGGAGAATCAGAACTTGTATCAGGATTTAATGTTGAATATGCAGCCGGTCCCTTCGCCTTATTTTTCATAGCTGAATATACTAATATTATCATAATAAATGCATTAACAGTAACCCTCTTCATAGGAGCATTACTAAACCCTATTTCCCCTGAAATTTTTACATTAAGCTTTACTCTAAAAACACTTGTACTAACCTCCATCTTTCTGTGAATCCGAGCATCCTATCCCCGATTCCGCTACGATCAACTTATACATCTTCTATGAAAAAACTTTCTACCCCTAACATTAGCTTTATGCATATGACATATTTCTCTTCCAATTATAACTGCATGTGTACCACCCCAAATCTAAGAAATATGTCTGATAAAAGAGTTACTTTGATAGAGTAAATTATAGAGGTTTAAACCCTCTTATTTCTAGAACTATAGGGATTGAACCTAATCCTAAGAATTCAAAGTTCTTCGTGCTACCCTTTACACCATGTCCTAAACAGTAAGGTCAGCTAAATAAGCTATCGGGCCCATACCCCGAAAATGTTGGTTTATACCCTTCCCGTACTAATTAATCCCCTAACTTCCACCGCAATCTACTTCACTCTCTTTTCCGGAACCATAATTACACTTTTTAGCTCACATTGACTTCTAGCTTGAATAGGCTTAGAAATAAGTATACTAGCTATTACCCCTATTTTAATCCATAAAGGAAATCCTCGGTCCACAGAAGCTGCATGTAAATATTTTCTTATCCAAGCAACCGCATCAATAATCTTAATAATAGGTACAATAATTAATTTTATAGATTCAGGCCAATGAACCCTATTTAACTCATATAATCAAATTTCATCATTTATACTTACTATTGCTCTCTCAATAAAAATAGGACTCGCCCCATTTCATCTATGAGTTCCAGAAGTTACACAAGGAATCCCACTCAAATCAGGCTTAATTGTATTAACATGACAAAAAATTGCCCCAATCTCTATCGCATACCAAATTGCATCTTCCATAAACTCCACACTCATACTATTTATAGGAACCCTATCAATCATACTAGGAGGATGAGGAGGACTTAACCAAACCCAACTACGAAAGATCCTAGCATATTCATCAATCGCCCATATAGGATGAATAATAGCAATTATTACATATAATCCAGTCCTAACAATATTTAACCTAATCATCTATCTTATACTTACTATTAACATATTTATGCTTACCCTTTATTATAAAAAAACCACTACCCTATCCTTATCAAATTTATGAAATAAATTTCCTCTTATAACACCCACAATTTTAATTGTACTAATATCATTAGGAGGTTTACCTCCCCTAACAGGATTTACACCAAAATGAATTATTCTTAAAGAACTTATTTCAAACAACAACGTTATTATCTCTACACTTATAGCAATAATGGCACTCCTAAACCTATACTTCTATACTCGACTAATCTATTCAACATCCCTAACCCTATTTCCATCATTTAACAATACCAAAATAAAATGACAGTTCGAAAATGTAAAACTTACACCTCTCCTACCAGTCTTTATCATTATTTCTATCTTCTCCCTCCCATTAATACCCATACTCTCACTCCTTAACTAGGAATTTAGGTTAACTTAGACCAAGGACCTTCAAAGTCCTAAGCAAGTACTCAACACTTAATTCCTGCACTAAGGACTGCAAGATTTTATCTTACATCAACTGAATGCAAATCAATCACTTTAATTAAGCTAAGCCCTTCATTCCTAGACTGATGGGATTTAAACCCATAAAATCTTAGTTAACAGCTAAACGCCCTAATCAACTGGCTTCAATCTACTTCTCCCGCCGTAAGTAAAAAGGCGGGAGAAGCCCCGGCAGAGTTGAAGCTGCTCCTTTGAATTTGCAATTCAATATGACTATTCACCTCGGGACTTGGTAAAAAGAGGACTCAACCTCTGTCTTTAGATTTACAGTCTAATGCTTACTCAGCCATTCTACCACCTACCTATGTTCATCAACCGTTGATTCTTCTCAACTAATCATAAAGATATTGGTACACTTTACCTTTTATTTGGCGCTTGAGCCGGTATAGTAGGAACTGCACTCAGTCTTCTAATCCGAGCTGAATTAGGCCAACCTGGGACTCTACTAGGTGATGATCAAATCTACAATGTTATTGTTACCGCCCATGCATTTGTTATAATTTTTTTCATGGTTATACCAATCATAATTGGTGGGTTTGGGAACTGACTAGTACCCCTAATAATCGGAGCCCCTGATATAGCATTTCCACGTATAAATAATATAAGCTTCTGACTTCTCCCCCCTTCCTTCCTTCTCTTGCTCGCCTCTTCTATGGTTGAAGCAGGTGCAGGAACAGGTTGAACCGTTTATCCTCCACTGGCCGGAAATCTAGCTCATGCAGGGGCTTCAGTAGATCTAACTATTTTTTCCCTACACTTAGCAGGAGTGTCATCAATTTTAGGTGCAATTAACTTTATTACAACAATTATTAACATAAAACCACCTGCCATATCTCAATATCAAACCCCTCTATTTGTATGATCCGTACTAGTCACAGCAGTTCTATTACTCTTGTCTCTTCCAGTTCTTGCAGCAGGAATTACTATACTCCTTACAGACCGTAATCTTAATACTACATTTTTTGATCCTGCCGGAGGTGGAGATCCTATTCTATATCAACACTTATTCTGATTTTTTGGACATCCTGAGGTTTATATCCTTATTCTTCCAGGATTTGGCATAATTTCTCATATCGTAACATACTACTCAGGTAAAAAGGAACCATTCGGTTATATGGGAATAGTCTGAGCCATAATATCTATTGGTTTTCTTGGATTTATTGTATGAGCCCACCATATGTTTACTGTTGGAATAGATGTAGATACTCGAGCCTACTTTACATCCGCAACCATAATTATTGCCATTCCTACAGGAGTAAAAGTTTTTAGCTGATTAGCAACCCTACATGGAGGTAATATTAAATGATCACCAGCAATACTATGAGCACTTGGTTTCATTTTTTTATTCACCGTAGGAGGCTTAACAGGAATTGTCCTAGCTAACTCTTCATTAGATATCGTTCTACACGATACATATTATGTTGTAGCTCACTTCCACTACGTATTATCAATAGGAGCCGTATTTGCCATTATAGGAGGGTTCGTTCACTGATTTCCCCTTTTTTCTGGCTATTCACTGAATGATATATGAGCTAAAATTCATTTTACCGTAATATTCGTAGGAGTAAATTTAACTTTTTTTCCCCAACATTTCCTAGGATTATCAGGTATACCACGTCGATACTCTGACTATCCAGATGCATATACAGCATGAAATACTGTATCCTCAATAGGCTCATTCATCTCTCTTACAGCTGTCATAATTATAATTTTCATAATTTGAGAAGCATTTGCATCAAAACGAGAAGTACTTACTGTAGAGCTAACACCAACTAACTTAGAGTGACTACATGGATGCCCTCCACCCTATCACACATTTGAAGAACCTACTTATATTAAAGTTTAGATCAAGAAAGGAAAGAATCGAACTTCCTAAAACTAGTTTCAAGCTAGCCCCATAACCACTATGACTTTCTTAATGAGATATTAGTAAAATAATTACATAACTTTGTCAAAGTTAATTTATAGGTTAAATTCCTATATATCTCTATGGCATACCCACTCGAATTAGGATTCCAAGATGCTACATCCCCTATTATAGAAGAGCTTTTACATTTTCATGACCATACTCTTATAATTGTTTTCCTAATTAGCTCCCTAGTTCTTTATATTATTTCATTAATACTAACTACAAAATTAACCCACACAAGCACTATAGATGCCCAAGAAGTAGAAACTATTTGAACCATCCTCCCTGCTATTATTCTTATCCTAATTGCTCTTCCCTCCCTACGTATTTTATATATAATAGACGAAATTAATGATCCATCCTTAACTGTAAAAACAATAGGCCACCAATGATATTGAAGCTACGAATACACAGACTATGAAGACCTTAATTTCGACTCTTACATGGTTCCAACCTCAGATTTAGCTCCAGGAGGCCTACGACTTTTAGAAGTTGACAATCGAGTTGTTCTTCCAATAGAACTACCCGTGCGAATATTAATTTCATCTGAAGACGTACTTCACTCTTGAGCAGTCCCATCCCTTGGGTTAAAAACAGATGCAATTCCAGGCCGACTTAATCAAGCAACACTAACATCAACACGACCAGGACTATATTACGGGCAATGTTCTGAAATCTGTGGATCAAATCATAGCTTTATACCAATCGTTCTTGAACTAGTTCCGTTAAAACACTTTGAAAACTGATCCTCATCAATACTATAAATTCATTATGAAGCTATAGTAGCATCAACCTTTTAAGTTGAAGATTAGGAACCAAATTTCCTCATAATGAAATGCCCCAACTAGATACATCTACATGATTTATTACAATCTTATCAATAATTCTAGCCCTTTTCTTTATACTTCAACTCAAAATCTCAAATCACTATTATTCATCTAATCCCTCCTCTAAAGACATTAAACTAGTCGAGCATAAAACTCCTTGAGAAGAAAAATGAACGAAAATCTATTCGCCTCTTTCATTACCCCTACATTAATAGGCTTTCCTATTGTCCTTTTTATTATTATATTTCCCAATTTACTCTTCCCTTCCCCTACTCGATTAGTAAATAACCGTCTAGTATCATTTCAACAATGACTAATCCAACTTGTATTAAAACAAATAATGACAATTCATAACCCAAAAGGACGTACCTGATCCCTAATACTAATCTCATTAATTATATTTATTGGCTCTACTAATCTTCTAGGATTATTACCCCACTCTTTTACACCAACTACTCAGCTATCAATAAATTTAGGAATAGCTATTCCTCTATGAGCAGGAGCAGTAATTACCGGATTTCGTTATAAAACCAAAGCATCATTAGCCCACTTTCTCCCACAAGGAACTCCAATTTTACTTATTCCTATACTTATTATTATCGAAACAATCAGCCTTTTCATTCAACCCATAGCATTAGCCGTGCGACTAACAGCTAATATCACAGCCGGCCATCTTCTCATGCATTTAATTGGAGGGGCAACTCTTGTATTAACATCTATTAGCCCTCCTACAGCTATTCTAACTTTTACTATTCTTGTATTACTAACAATGCTTGAATTTGCAGTTGCATTAATTCAAGCTTACGTTTTCACTCTCCTAGTAAGCTTATATTTACATGATAATACTTAATGACCCACCAAACCCATGCTTATCATATAGTCAACCCCAGCCCCTGACCCTTAACAGGAGCCCTCTCCGCCTTACTTCTAACATCTGGCTTGGTAATATGATTCCACTTTAATTCCTCCTTTATTCTGATACTAGGTCTAACAGCTAACACCCTAACAATATACCAGTGGTGACGAGATATTGTACGAGAGGGCACATTTCAAGGTCACCATACATCAATTGTCCAAAAAGGCTTACGATATGGTATAGTACTATTTATTATCTCAGAAGTATTCTTTTTTGCCGGGTTTTTCTGAGCATTTTATCATTCTAGTCTAGCCCCAACTCCCGAACTAGGCAGCTGCTGACCCCCAGTAGGAATCAATCCACTTAATCCTCTAGAAGTACCACTATTAAATACCTCTGTCCTCTTAGCTTCAGGAGTGTCAATTACTTGAGCTCACCATAGCCTAATAGAAGGAAACCGAAAACATATGATTCAAGCACTATCAATCACAATTGCTTTAGGACTTTACTTTACTCTCCTTCAAGCCTCTGAATACCTAGAAACATCTTTTACAATTTCAGATGGTGTATATGGCTCGACATTTTTTATAGCTACAGGTTTCCATGGTCTCCATGTCATAATTGGATCAACCTTTCTTCTAGTATGTCTTATTCGTCAGCTAAACTTTCACTTTACATCAAATCATCACTTTGGATTTGAAGCAGCCGCATGATACTGACACTTCGTAGATGTCGTATGACTCTTCCTCTATGTATCTATTTATTGATGAGGCTCATATTCTCTTAGTATTAATCAGTACAATTGACTTCCAATCATTTAGTTCTGGAACTAACCCAGAAGAGAATAATAAACCTCATACTAACTCTCTTTACAAACTCCTTTATTGCCTTTCTACTAATCTCCGTGGCATTTTGATTACCCCAACTGAACGTATATGCTGAAAAGGCTAGCCCTTACGAATGTGGTTTTGATCCTATAGGATCTGCTCGCTTACCATTTTCAATAAAGTTTTTCCTTGTTGCAATCACATTCCTTCTATTTGATCTAGAGATTGCTCTTCTCCTCCCCCTCCCTTGAGCTTCCCAAACAAATAGTCTTAACCTTATACTAACTATAGCCTTACTCTTAATCTTAATTCTTACCCTCGGATTAGCCTATGAATGAATCCAAAAAGGTTTAGAATGAATTGAATATGATAATTAGTTTAAAATAAAACAAGTGATTTCGACTCACTAAACTATGGGCTGCCATAATTATCAAAATGCCTATTATTATTCTTAATATTATCTTAGCTTACTCTACATCCCTACTAGGAATATTCATTTATCGGTCCCACTTAATGTCATCACTTTTATGTCTAGAGGGAATAATATTATCAATATTTGTTTTATGCTCCCTCCTAATTATAAACTTCCACTTTTCCCTGTCATTTATAATCCCTATCACCTTATTAGTGTTTGCTGCATGTGAAGCGGCTGTAGGTTTGGCTCTTCTGGTAATAGTATCTAATACATATGGCCTAGACTATGTCCAAAATCTAAATATCCTCCAATGCTAAAAATCATCATTCCCACAATCCTTCTTGCCCCCCTTATATGATTCTCAAAACCCTCTATAATTTGAATCAACCCCTCAATTCATAGTTTAATAATTAGCCTAATTGTTCTTCTCACATTAAATCGTCCTACAAACACAGATTTAATTTTTTCACTAGCCTTCTTCACAGACCCTTTATCCTCTCCTCTATTAATCTTAACAGCATGACTACTACCTCTCATAATCATGGCAAGCCAGAGTCACTTAACCCAAGAACCATTAATCCGAAAGAAACTGTATATTCTCATATTAATCTCACTACAATCCTTTCTAATTATAACTTTTTCCGCCACTGAACTAATCATATTCTATATCCTATTTGAAGCTACCCTAATTCCTACACTCATTATTATCACTCGATGAGGAAATCAAACTGAACGATTAAATGCAGGACTATATTTTTTATTCTATACCTTAGTAGGTTCTCTGCCCTTGTTAGTAGCATTAATTTATATTCAAAAATCTACCGGATCCTTAAACTTCATTATTTCAGTATACCAGTCATCTGTCCTCCCCATATCCTGAACAAATCATATCCTATGATTAGCATGTATTATAGCCTTTATAGTTAAAATACCCCTATATGGTTTACATCTTTGATTACCAAAAGCCCACGTCGAAGCTCCCATCGCCGGCTCTATAGTTTTAGCCGCTATTCTACTAAAACTTGGCGGATACGGAATGATCCGAATTTCAACTCTTCTGCATCCTGTCACAAGTAACATAGCCTATCCCTTTATTATACTATCCTTATGAGGTATAATTATAACAAGTTCAATCTGCTTACGACAAACAGACTTAAAATCTCTCATCGCTTACTCATCAGTAAGTCACATAGCATTAGTAATTGTAGCAATTATGATTCAAACCCCCTGAAGCTTTATAGGAGCCACAGCACTAATAATCGCTCACGGACTAACATCCTCTATACTGTTTTGTTTAGCAAACACCAACTATGAACGAATTCATAGTCGAATTATAACATTAGCTCGAGGCTTACAGTCTATCCTCCCCCTCATAGCAACATGATGAGTTCTAGCAACCCTGACCAATCTGGCCCTCCCACCCTCCATTAACTTAATTGGTGAATTATTTATTATTATAGCATCATTTACTTGATCTAATATTTCAATTATCTTAACTGGAATTAACATATTAATCACAGCTCTCTACTCACTGTATATATTAATTACAACACAACAAGGAAAATTCACATATCATACATTAAATATTAGCCCTTCCTTTACACGAGAAAATACACTTATATTTCTTCACCTTTTTCCACTTATCATTCTATCAACAAATCCTACCATTATTCTGGGTCATTTATACTGTAAGTATAGTTTAAGCAAAACTTTAGATTGTGAATCTAACAATAGAGAATCGTATTCTCTTATTTACCAAGAAAGCATGCAAGAACTGCTAACTCATGCTACCGTGACTAAACCCACGGCTTTCTTAACTTCTACAGGATAGAAGCAATCCGTTGGTCTTAGGAACCAAAAAATTGGTGCAACTCCAAATAGAAGTAATTAATATATTCTCTTCACTTATTCTTACATCACTTATGACCCTATCATTTCCTATTTTTCTAACTATAACTAACCACTACAAGCACATTAACTTCCCAAATTACGTAAAAATCTCTATTATTTGTGCATTATCACTCTGCATCATACCTACACTAATATTTATTAACTCAAACTATGAACTCATTATCTCAAACTGACACTGAATAACTATTCAAACATTCACTCTATCCATAAGCTTTAAATTAGACTACTTTTCCATACTATTCATACCTGTAGCACTATTTGTCACATGATCAATTATAGAATTCTCAATATGATACATGCACTCTGATCCCTTTATTAATCGTTTCTTTAAATATCTCCTTTTATTCCTCATCACCATAATAATCCTAGTTACATCTAATAACCTATTTCAACTATTTATTGGATGGGAAGGAGTGGGCATCATATCTTTCCTACTAATCGGCTGATGGTACGGCCGAACAGACGCTAATACAGCAGCCCTCCAAGCTATCCTATATAACCGAATTGGAGACATCGGATTTGTTTTAGCTATAGCATGATTCTTACTTAATTCAAACTCATGAGATCTACAACAACTTTTTATTATAGATGTCTCTCTGTTCCCCCTACTAGGACTACTCTTGGCCGCCACAGGAAAATCTGCCCAATTTGGTCTTCATCCTTGGTTACCTTCCGCCATAGAGGGCCCAACCCCTGTCTCAGCCTTACTTCACTCTAGTACAATAGTAGTGGCAGGAGTTTTCCTCCTTATCCGCTTCCACCCATTAATAGAACATAACAAAACCATCCAAACACTTACTCTTTGTTTAGGAGCTATTACCACCCTATTCACCGCTATCTGTGCTCTAACCCAAAATGACATTAAAAAAATTATCGCATTCTCCACTTCAAGTCAATTAGGATTAATAATAGTAACCATTGGAATTAATCAACCCCACTTAGCATTCCTTCATATTTGCACACACGCATTCTTCAAAGCTATACTATTTATATGCTCAGGATCAATCATTCACAACCTAAATGACGAACAAGATATTCGAAAGATAGGAGGCTTATTTAAAGCCCTTCCATTTACTTCATCTTCACTTATTATTGGCAGTCTAGCATTAACAGGAACTCCTTTTCTAACCGGATTCTACTCTAAAGACCTAATTATTGAATCTGCTAATACGTCGTATACCAACGCCTGAGCCCTAATTATTACTCTCCTTGCCACCTCCCTAACCGCTGTCTACAGTACACGAATTATCTTCTATGTTCTGATAGGACAACCTCGATTTTCTACACTAACTTCAATTAACGAAAATAACCCTCAACTGCTTAATTCAATTAAACGCCTTCTTATTGGCAGTATCATTGCAGGGTTTGTCCTTTCATATAACATTCCACCCATAAATGTTCCAGTACTAACCATACCTATTCATCTAAAGCTTACAGCATTATTAGTAACCATCTTAGGATTTGTTATTGCTATAGAACTAAACTCAATGACTCTTTATTTTCAAACCAAAATATACTCAAGCACATCAAAATTTTCAACCTTACTAGGCTATTTTCCTACTATCATCCATCGACTTAGCCCTCATCTCAACCTTATTATAAGCCAAAAACTATCATCAGCCCTTTTAGACCTAATCTGATTAGAAAAAACTATTCCTAAATTTACCGCTAACCTTCACTTAACAGCTTCGACCATATCCTCTAACCAAAAAGGCCTCATCAAATTATATTTCTTATCATTCTTAATTTCATCATTCCTAGCAATTATTCCCACATTCTATTTCCACGTGTAATTTCAATGACAATAAAAATACTAACAAATAATGATCAACCAGCTACAACCATTAATCAACTTCCATAACTGTACATAGCTGCTACCCCTATTGAATCTTCACGAATTAACCCCAACTCATCCCCTTCAAATACCACCCAATTCTCTAAATCCTTAAACTCAATTACAATCTCTACCTCATCATATAAAATTACGAGCATAATAATTGAAAACTCCGCTAAAAATCCCAACAACAAAACTCCTCAAACAACTACATTCGATCCTCACGTTTCTGGGTATTCCTCCGTCGCTATAGCCGTAGTATAACCAAACACCACCAATATTCCCCCTAAATAAATTAAAAACACTATTAAACCTAAAAAAGATCCCCCAAAATATAACACAACCCCACATCCAATTCCCCCACTAATAATTAACCCTAAACCTCCATAAATAGGAGAAGGCTTTGAAGAAAATCCCACAAAACCTAAAACAAAAAGTATACTTAATAAGTACGTAATATATGTCATTATTTTCACATGGAATCTAACCATGACCAATGACATGAAAAATCATCGTTGTTATTCAACTATAAAAACACTAATGACAAACACCCGCAAAACCCACCCTTTAATTAAAATTATTAATCACTCCTTCATTGATTTACCTGCGCCCTCCAATATCTCAACATGATGAAATTTCGGGTCTCTACTAGGACTTTGCTTAGTCATCCAAATCCTTACCGGATTATTTTTAGCAATACACTACACATCCGATACTTTAACAGCCTTCTCATCAGTCACCCACATCTGTCGAGACGTAAATTACGGCTGACTTATCCGCTATATACATGCTAACGGTGCATCAATATTTTTCATCTGCCTCTTTCTTCATGTAGGCCGAGGAATATACTATGGCTCATACACCTATTTTGAAACATGAAACATTGGAGTTATTCTCCTATTTACAGTAATAGCCACAGCCTTCATAGGCTATGTTCTTCCCTGAGGTCAAATATCATTCTGAGGAGCAACTGTAATTACTAATCTTTTATCCGCTATTCCATATATTGGCACAACCTTAGTCGAATGAATCTGAGGTGGATTTTCAGTAGACAAAGCTACTCTAACACGATTCTTTGCATTCCACTTCGTTCTCCCCTTTATTATCGCAGCCCTAGTCATAGTCCACCTCCTTTTCCTTCATGAAACTGGATCAAACAATCCTTCAGGCCTTATCTCTGACTCAGACAAGATCCCCTTTCACCCATACTATACCATCAAGGATATCCTTGGAGTTCTTCTCCTTATTCTAATTCTAATAACCCTAGTCCTATTTTCACCTGACCTTTTAGGAGACCCCGATAATTACACACCTGCAAATCCCTTAAGCACACCACCCCATATTAAACCAGAATGATATTTCTTATTTGCCTACGCTATCCTACGATCTATCCCCAACAAACTAGGGGGCGTTTTAGCCCTAGTATTCTCAATTCTTATTTTAATACTCTTTCCACTACTCCACTTATCTAAACAACGTAGCATAATATTCCGACCATTAAGCCAATGCATATTTTGAATTCTAGTAGCAGATCTATTCACACTGACCTGAATCGGAGGACAGCCCGTTGAATACCCGTATATTATCATCGGCCAACTAGCATCAATCCTATATTTCGCTATTATTCTTTTAATTTTACCAACCATTAGTCTAATTGAAAACAAACTTCTTAAATGAAGAGCCCTAATAGTATAAACATTACCTTGGTCTTGTAAACCAAAAATGAAGCTACAGACTTCTTAGAGCAGAACATCAGGGAAGAAAATACACTTTTCACCTTCAACTCCCAAAGCTGACATTTCTCACTTAAACTATTCCCTGCACTCGACCAGTTGCTTAAATTTTGACTTCTATGTCACTATTAACTTTTACTTAATGATCCACTCCTATGTAAACCGTGCATTTAATGCTTTACCCCATTAAGACATTACTAATCCATGTACATAGGACATTATATGTTTAATCAACATTAATAGCACTCTCACCATGCATATTAAGCACGTTCATAATACTAACATAGTACATAATACAGTACCTTATCACCTCACATCAAATGCTCATCAATACGGCCGTGGTCCCACTACAGCCCCTGCTTATAGTACATAGCACATCACTATCACTGGCGGTACATACCACATTAAGTCATAAATCCTTCTCGCTCCAAATGGCTATCCCCTACCAATTTTGGTCTCATAATCTACCACCCTCCGTGAAACCATCTACTCGCCCACTCCGTGTCCCTCTTCTTGCTCTGATCCCATGTAACTTGGGGGTAGCTAAGCATGCACTTTATCTGGCATCTGGTTCCTACCTCAGGGCCATGAACTTCATAATCGCCCACCCGTTCCCCTTAAATAAGACATCACGATGGATTAGTTCCATTCTAGCCCGTGACCCAACATAACTGCACTGTCATGCCTTTAGTGGTTTTATTTTTTGGGGGATGCAGGGACTCACCATTGGCCGTCAGAGGCCTCGTTCCATTCAACTCAATTGTAGCTGGACTTATTGGTCAATATTCTCGCTTTACATAGTTACTATCTGCCATAGTCGGGCTTAATGCTCGATAGACAAAAAAAAAGTTAAAACAGAAATTCCATAGTAGACCCAAATATAAAAACAAACGTCTAATGATTACTTTCCCTCCGAACCTATATTAATTTCTTCTTATCCGCTTCCAATTTTATTAACTTCTTCCTCAGTAGATCAAATTTACAAATAAATTTTGATATCTCCCCTATATAATTATTCTAATAATACTTAGATTCAACTCCATTTACCAGATCTTATATAAGCATATCCTCTCAAAATCCATAT